TGAGGAGCGTCTGTCTGGACCCCCTCGGAACAGGAGAGGTGAGGAGCGTCTGTCTGGACCCCGTCGGGACAGGAGAGGTGAGGAGTGTCCGTCAGGGCCCCCTCGGAACAGGAGAGGTGAGGAGCGTCCGCGGGGACCCCCTGGGAACAGGAGAAGTGAGGAGCGTCCGCCGGGACCCCCTCGGAACAGGAGAAGTGAGGAGCGTCTGACGGGCCCCCCTCGGAACAGGAGAAGTGAGGAGCGTATGTCTGGACCCCTCGGAACAGGAGAAGTGAGGAGCATCCAACGAAACCCCCTCGGAACAGGAGAGGTGAGAAGCGTCCGACGGAACCCCCTCAGAATAGGAGAAGTGAGGATCCACCTCGGGAACTGCGTGCAGCGTGGGATCCACCTCGGGGGCTGCGTGCAGCGTGGGATCCACCTCGGGGGCTGCGTGCAGCGTGGGAACCACCTCGGGGGCTGCGTGCAGAGTGGGATCCACCTCGGGGGCTGCGTGCAGCGTGGGATCCACCTCGGGGGCGGCGTGCAGCGTGGGTTCAGAGATGGCAGTGACTATAGGGTTTTTTTAAATGTCCCTATCTTTGTTAGTAATAGATTGTACTCAGGAAGCCGTGCAAGACCAGGAATAGATAATAAAAAATCCTCCATCTGGGACAACACGATGTCAATAGAAGCCGGGTTAGCTTTAGCTGAACGGAATAAATCTAGTAAAGTTTGGTTTATTTGCATAATTTCTTCGGGTGAAAATGAGAATATGAAGGGAATGTCTCTATGTGGGGGTGTGGTAATGGGTGCTGCCCCCACCGGAAACCTGGAAGGTGAGGCGGCGGAACACGCCCCCACGGAGTCACTGGGAATACGCTCGGGAGGTATGGTCAGGCTGGGTCGGACAGCCGCGGCGCTGTGTGGCGGTGAGAGGCCGGATTCCGCCCTCACCAGGAACCTGGAAGGTGAGGCGACGGAAACCGCCCCTGTGGCGTCAAGTGGACTGGACTCACCGAACCGAACAGGAGTGGACCGGAGCTCCGGCGGGATGGTGGATCTCGCCCCCACCAGAAACCTGGGAGGTGAGGCAGTGGATCCCGCTCCCACAGAAACACCGAAACCATCTCTAAAATTCTGTTCAGCCAACGAGACCAGGGACAAGACGAGACGTGATTACGAACAGCTGGGACGAGACAAGGGTGGCACTAATTGAACTAACGAGAGAGCACTAGATAACACAGACACAAACCGGGCCACAAAAAGGTACCATCCTTACATTATGATACGCCAAATGTTCTCTATAGGTGAAAGATCTGGACTGCAGGCTGGCCATTTCAGTACCCGGATCCTTCTCCTACGTAGCCATGATGTTGTGATTGCTGCAGAATGTGGTCTGGCATTATCGTGTTGAAAAATGCAGGGTCTTCCCTGAAAGAGATGACGTCTATGGGAGCATATGTTGTTCTAGAACCTGAACATAGTTCGCTGCATTAATGGTGCCTTTCCAGACATGCAAGCTGCCAATGCCACAAGCGCTCATGCAACCCCATACCATCAGTGATGCAGGCTTCTGAACGGAGCGTTGATAACAACTTGGGCTATCCTTGTCCTCTCTGGTCCAGATGACATGGCGTCCCAGTGTTCCATAAAGAACTTAAAATCGTGACTCATCTGACCACAGAACAGTCTTCCATTTTGCCACACTCCATTTTAAATGACCCCTGGCCCAGTGCAAACGTCTGAGCTTGTGGAGCTTGCTTAGAAATGGCTTCCTCTTTGCACTGTAGAGTTTCAGCTGGCAACGGTGGATGGCACAGTGAATTGTTTTAACAGGTTTTAAAACATCTATGTTTACCTACATAAGTAAATACTTTATTCAATAACTGTTTTATAAAGCATGGCACAAGAAGTAGCACTAAGCTTTTTGTTTGTCTTTAATTTAATTTAATTTAATTTTTCTACCTAACACAGGAAGCTGTTAGCTCTGGAAGCAAGCTGTTAAACAGCTTTGGACACAAAGACCCTTGTCACACACTTCAACAGAGCAGGTAAGATACAGAACATCTTGTAATCTCTGCCTGGTGAGGCTGATTAAATAATTATAAAATATGATAAGTGAAATAAAGAAAAATTGAGCTTCTGTAATTTATATTTGCAAATGTCACATTTTCTTGACTTAATTTCAATTGTAAATCTCTTGTTTTTGATAAAATATTTTTTTCCAAAAGAAAGACCAACAGATTGTAATTTGTAGTCATGGTAACCGTATCTTTCACTTTTAGGTTCCACAAGGCTCTGGACTGGTCCAGCTGTGGAGAGATGAGGTGGAACACCAGACCTGCAATGGTCCAGTCTGTAAATGATGCTCTGAAGTCTGGGAAGATGCACGACATCATGCTTCACCCAAACGAGCTCGTTACCTCGACCACACAGACTGAACTTCTGGAGGACGTCGTCCAGTGTATAATAACGCCTTTAAACATTTTTATTTGTTCTCTGCTTGGTACATGATTTTTATTTTTTGTTTGTCTGTTTAAACAATTTAAATCATGACAGTGATGTCACTGTTTAAAGGAAACAATTGCTCAATAAATTAGTAAAATGCAACTTGTTATGTTTGGGTTCTTTCATCTAAGTTAGACATGGTGTGACCCATGGACTGGTTTAGATTTTTTGTTTTTACTGGAACTGACCTTCAAAAGAGCCAGAAACAGACTCAGCAGCTGATCCTCTGTAGAAACATTATATGGACTACAGGCCATGGATTATTTGTTTTATGACATTTAGTGAAGGTTCTTGTTTGGATTAAGGAAATAAATGTCTCTATTTCACCACAGATGAACTGTTCCTGTTGCCATATCTTTTGAAATAAAGCTGCACAACACAAAGTAATTTAAACAGGAATGGGTAGAAGATCAAATCAAATTCAATATATTTCCTAAAAATTAAATGAAAAACAGGAGCAGGAGTCATGTTACCAGGAGTGGGACAGGACAGGATTTTTTCTGTGGGACCAGGACAGGAGTGAAAATCCACTCCTGTGTCATCCTCTAGTTCAGACCCAGTAATGTTCAGGCCCTGTAAGATTCAGGTTGAGTAATGTTCAGGCTCATTAATGTTCAGGTCCAGTACTGTTCAGGTCGCAGTATCATTCAAGCCAGTAATGTTCAAGCTCAGGAACATTCAGGTCCCAGTAACATTCCGATCAGAGTAATGTTCTGACCAAGTTAATGTTCAGACCCCAGTATCGTTCAGGCATGATAATATGCAGGCCCAGTAACATTCAGGCCTTGTAATGTTCAGCCCAGTAATGTTCAGGCCCAGTAATGTTCAGGCTCAGACGATTTGTGTGTGAACTTCTGCAGGCCTGTTGGGACTCAGAGCTGAAGGGCATTATTTGATATTTCACAGCAACCTCCCAAATGAACAGAAAAATAGTGTAATTTTCTCTTCCAGCTGAAGACAACTTTTTTAGATCTGCTAAGTTTAATAGAACCCCAGAGAAGAAGAAGCTGAGTGCATGAACATCAAAGTTCACGCTCAGTCATCCTGAGTACATGAACTTTCAGCAAATAATCCTAATGCTCACCAACTTTCTGAACAAAGCCATGGAAAGCTTTCAAACTTCATCCAGTTCTTGTGCAGGTCGATGCTGGAATGAAGCTTGTGTGTCTCAGTCGATATCAAATAAATCAAGTAAAATTAATATTATTAAAGCCCCCGCAGGTCCAATTCCCTCCCAGCAGCACCGGAGGCTCTGTGGTGATTGTGCCATGCTCAGCAACCTTCTGCAAATGGCAGCGGGTTGCATTTTAATAACAGATGCAGCCTGGTCGTCCCGGCACAGAGACCTCCAGGCTGGAGGGAGATTAATCTTGAAAAATATTAATGGTTTTTCTCACAAACCATGCTACAAATGCAGCAAGGTGTTCTGGGAAGCCGTGTAGCGGTGGAGCACAGGAACAGCTCGT